CCCCCCCCCAACAAAAAAAAAATGTAGGTAAGTTTCGACCCCCTCCCTGTACCCAAAACCCTAAACCCAAACTCCTGAACCCCTAACCCCTAAACCCTAAACCCAAACTCCTAAACCCTTAACCCCTAAACCCTAAAACCCCTTGTACCTCAACCATCAAACCCTAAACCCAAACTCCTAAACCCCTAACCCCTAAACCCTAAAACCCCCTGACCTCAAACATCAAACCCTGTAGTACTAAACCCTAAACCCTAACCCCTAAAACCCCTAAACCCTAAAACCCCCTGTACCTGAACCATCAAACCTTAAGCTATACTGAACTTAGACCCCTAGCAAAATTATAATTTTAGCTGCTTCTTGGGGTTTATAGTAGCCAAAGATTAAAAAAAAATATTTCTAAGTACCCCTAAGTAAGCCCCAGACTCAGCGCCGGACCTAGCTCCACATCTTCGAGTCTCGGTCCCTTTCAGGGTTTCTGGCTTTGGCTTTGGGTTTAGGGTTTAGGGTTTAGGGTTTAGGGTTTAGGGTTTAGAGTTTAGAGTTTAGAGTTGAGGGTTTAGGGTTCAGGGTTTAGTGGCTTTGAGCTGAATGCAGGGGCCGTAATCATTAGAAGAGGGTTTGGGGGGGGTGCATTATACTATAACTAATAATTAGAATAGGGTTTTGGGGGGTCCATTATACTATAAATATAGTAAGGAACCCCCCCCAAAAAAAAAATAGTATTGGTAATGTTTAGGCCCCTATGATATAGGGTGAAAGGCTTTCGGGCTTGCAAAGGGTTAGGGTTTAGGGTTTATAGGGTTGGGCAACGATCAGGTTATACCCCAAACCCTGAACCCTAAACATGCGTTCCATGGGCCCGGAGCCTGTCATGCATTAAGCGTGAGGGGTTGATGTTTTTTAGGGTCTAGGAGTCGCAGTGGAGTGTTTGAGGCACTTTGGGTTTTGGGGTGGGGGTAGTAATTAGAATAGGGTGTGAGGGTATATTATACTATAATTATAATGAGGAGCCCCCCAAAAAGTATAATAGGTGATTATCAAGGCCCTTTTTTTACCTGAAGCTAGACTTCTTCTGTGAAGGACTTTGCAGGGAACGTGCACTTTGGTAGAATTCCAAATCTCGCTGTTTGGTCTGTTTAGCGCTGGGGGCTGAGCCGTTGCATGTGGGGCTGAGTTTGGAAATCTGCTGTGACGGTTAAGGTTTAGGGTTCAGGGTTCAGGGTTTAGGGCTTAGGGCCCCTTTACGCCCCTTTAGGTCACAGACGATGCCTCCTCCACTGCTGCCGCGGCAACGGCAGAGCCTGGGAGGCAAGGAAACCTTAAACCTCAGAGTGTAAAGGGTTCGTCCCGAAGTTGATGGCTTCAGGGGTAGAGCGTGATGACGCTCTCAAACTCATGTTCATGGCAGAGGGACTGTTAGATGGATGTCATATGCTTTTGTGTTTGTTCTGGGGTGGAACAGTGTCTTCGGTTCAGTCCTGCTAGATCTTCTGCAACTAGACGAAGCTTTCAACTCGCCTCCCTACTCGGGCAACACCTCCACATTTGTGTCTTGGCGAACCCTCACATGCCATCCGCTTCTTCTCGCCGTGCCTCATGCTGTCGGAAACAAGAGGCCGCCTCTTCCAACCCCTCTGCCATCTCCAGAACCGTCTGCTTCACCCGCCCCAAATCCTCGACATCCCATATCCAAGGCCTGTGATTGGTCGTGATGTCTGGACCGAAGAGGAACAGCAGAGCAGACAGCACCGGCGCAGAATCAAAAGGTACTGCCTGTGCTGCCTCAAGGGCCTGCAAGCTCAGCTTCCCAAACTTTCGAATTTGTTCAGCCACGGAAGCATTCACATTCTGGTGGACTGCACGCCCTGTCCAGTTCGCTGGAAAGTTTGTGGGGGATTGGCAATGGTGGCAGACATGTTTCAGTGCACTGGCGAGGTACTGCGCAAGACTGCCAGTCCTAGGTGACTGCCACGACGCAAGCATCAGCTCAATGTGAAGTCCCTTAAGGCCAAGGCCACTGGATTCTTGCTGCATCTTCTTCATGTGTTCCAGTTGTTGTCTGCAGGACGAACTGTTCCAGGTCAAGTCGCTTACGGCCCGTGCAGCGCAACCTCGGCATGCCCTCCACATTTGCCCCCATTGCACATCTGAGCTTCTTTCTGCTGCTTTAAGTCGCCGGTTCCACAGCTTCACAAGTGCGACAACCGCCCTGCGACTCAAGGAGACGCTGGCCCAGTCTTGCAGTTGCCTGTGCAGCTGGGAAGGATTGTTGAGCAATGGGGCAGTTTCCTTGCTATCCCAGAGGCGGATGTAACCCGCATTGAGCTTCACTGCGGGAATTATGTCCAGATTGCACTGACCCGTCCAGACTTCGAAGCCATACCGCCCTCTTGTTATGTTGCCAGCAGCATAGTGTTGACTGACGAAAGCCTCGAGTAGTCCTTCCAAATTCCTCATGGAGCTCTCGTTTCCGCACTGGAAGCCCCATGAGTCATTCATCAGCAGTACCAGGTCCGCATCGCTGGCGATTCTTCGACCCAACATATCATCCTGTAAATGCGCACTCGTGCCCCGCTGCGACGATCCGTGCAAGGATATGCAGGCTGCAGGCATACCCGAATTCCGTAGAAACTCTGATAGCCTCTTTTGGATGTCTGCGGCCTTTTTGCGGATTATCACGCGGCAGCCGTCCGCCGTCCAAACAAGCTTCCACAAACCATGCTCCAGGTCCTTTGCAGGAGAAGCAAGCTCTTCTGCAAAATTCACTCTCATGCTGTCGATATGGTTGTCTGGATCGAAGACCGTTCCTGCCTTTACCAGCTCTGCAAGGCGGCGATAGTTCTGGATTCGGCTGTAGAACGGTGGGCCACATGAGCAGCCTTCCGACACTCTCCAAACGCCTGGCGAATTGAGCACAAAGCCACCAAGGAAGGCAAGGAAGAATGAAGGCTGGCGTTGACTCCGACGTTTCGAAGATGGCGTCGATCCCATGGTCGCCATGGCTGGGAACCCCTGAAGGAAAGGCCGTAATATGTCTTAGCATCGAGAGTGGAGGAACCTACTTGGGCAACCTCTGGCTCTACATTACCCAGAACTACTCCGAGGTTCCCACGAGGGTCGTTGGTCACAGCACACCGCCACGACAGCTAGTCCGTAGCTCATGAGCCCGAGCCACCACGCACGAAATACCGCTGCTTGGAACTTGCTTCCCCTAGCGGTCTCGGTGCATGCATTGTGTATAAATACATAAAGAAAGATAAATAAAAAAACATATATATATATATATATATACACACACATTGGCTACTTCGCTCTATCTGTCTTTCTCGCGATCTATGTATGTGCATATGTATGTGCATATATATATATATACATATACAGACATACGTACATAATACATACATGCATACATACAAACGGACAGACATACATACAGACATACATGCATACATACATTCATGCATACATACAGACATACATATGCATACAGACATGTTCATACAGACATACACATATGTCCTTGTGTACTGTGCACTCACATGATTCAGAATATGGATGATGCATACTGGTGCACATCGGTTCTTCTGAAATGTCTCGTTTTATTCGCTTGTGTAACCGTACCTGTTGATGCACTACTTACTAGTTTATTCGGCCCTAAACCCTAAACCCTAAACCCTAAACCAAACCGCTCTTCGTGAACACGGACCAGATGCTGCCCAAATGTCGTACCCTCAGAACGCATACCTAAGGATGGAAACACGGAGCAGCACTCACATAAGAGCCTTCACAACTAGAGTATTTAATAAGGTTGTTGCGGTATGTTATTGTATAAAAGAGTAAAAAAACCCTAGGGCATAGTATTGGTAGTTGTGTTGTCTAGGCTTCCACGGCAGTTACCAAGCCTGAAAGGACGAAACTCAAATTTCTGCAACCCTCAAACCCCAAACCTGAAAAGACCTTGACGCAGCAGAAAGAACTCAAAACCTCGACCCCAGGGTGCCATGGAGAACATTTCCGAGCCCAGAAACCGAAAGCTTCGACCCTAACACCTTTGGGTCTAGGGTTTACGGTTTAAGGGTTTAGGGTTTCAGTTTCAGGGTTTAGGGTTTAGGGTTGAGCTACAAATAGACCCACCCCTGTTGCAAGAGAAATTAACGTCCACAACGCACGTCCAAAGCCCCTGCAGGTGGTAAAAGCGAGTTACGTTCCCCCTCTTGAGGCATCCAGTCGAAGCGGAAGTCGTTGAAATGATGGCCCCTAGGATCCCCAGAGAGGACCATGCAGTCTAGAGCAAACCCAGAGAGGCAGACAGTACCGAGCACTACATGCCTAGCTTGAATACGCACCACCTGGAAGAGAATTCTGCCAACCCCCAAAACGATCCATAATCTCTGCACCCTCAACCTCCTAAACCCCATAAACCCCAAACCCCTAAACCCCTAAACCCCAAACCCTAAACCCTAAACCCTAAACCCTAAACCCCTAAACCCCTAAACCCTAAACCCCTCAACCCTCGACCCTCATGGCCTTCCTGTGGCGTCTCACCAGCCTCAAGGCAGCCGGCAACAATCATTTTAGGGTTTAAGGGTTTAGGGGTTTAGGGTTTAGGGGTTTAGGCTTAGGGGGTTTAGGGTTTAGGGTTTAGGGGTTTAGGGTTTAGGGGTTTAGGGGTTTAGGGTTTAGGGGTTAGGGGTTAGCGGTTTAGGGGTTTAGGGGTTTAGGGGTTTAGGGTTTAGGGTTTAGGGTTTAGGGTTTAGGGGTTTTGGGGTTTAGGGGTTTGGGGTTTCGGGGTTTAGGGTTTAGTAATCGTGCAATGGCAAACCTTAAACGTGTTCCTGCAAGGGAGTTGCATTGGGTTACCTCATAACGACCCACCCCAACCCCCGCGAGCACCACTGCTACCACCGCCATCATCTTCATCACCATCCGTACTACACTAAGCATGACCCGGGCCGTTTACACAACTGCGAGATCCAACACTAAAAACTTAACAATGCTGCCCCGAATACCTGCCTTTTTTTACAACCTGAAGTTTTAATCTCAAATCCGATACCTCAACCCTTAACCCCCCCCTCCGGAAAAAAAAAACAAACAAACATCAAGTCCGAGTGAGGCCTCGGTGTTGCCTTGAGCCTTCCGACGCTTCTTGGCGCCTGGGCTGCTGCTTCGGAGTTTAGGCCGTTCAGGTAGACAGCTGATCGTAGGTTTAGGGTTTAGGGTTCAGGGGTTTAGGGTTTAGGGGTGTTTAGGGTTAAATTCAGGGAACTGATTCTGACCGCTGGCTGTTTTCGACTGGACAGTATAGTGCTGCTGCTTCGACATCTTCTACGCATGGTTGCGGTCTTATCCTGACTTGTTGTTGGTCAATGTCACCTTGCCTGGGGACATTCTTCACATGGCGTCGGCGATGCTTGCCTGATCTTCTTGCCTAAACTTTGCAGACTACACCCTCTACGAAGAATCCAATAGTTCGTTGCTTGGGTTAAACCGGATCCCTTTTCTAATCATTACTTGAGGAACAGGGTTCATTCATCAGGTGTCCACATTCGTAAGCTACTAGATACTCGGACCATTTGGGATACAACTACCGAAAGCTTGCTGGTCTATTTCGGGGTCCTTTTTTACGGGTGCCGTGGTATATTTGGGACCACAACAATGACCATGTCACACTTGGATATTCACTTGGAGATTCAGGGCTAGCTATGCATGTGCTAGTTTAGGGTTTAGGGCTTAGGGTTTAGGGTTTAGGGTAATACTTGCCTCTGCGGCCTTACCTGACCCCGCTGCCTCTAGACTCTAGCTCTCGAGGGCGTTGTTCACAACCGTGGTGCAGTTTAGGCTGGTCATGGTGATCAGAAACCATTGAAAACATCGAGCCTCAACCTCAAAGCTAACCTGCTTGAGAACTGACCCCACATGACCTTAGACCCTCAACCATGAAAGCCTAAAGCCCTAAACCCCACAGGATTTAAAACCCTGTTCCCGACAAATCTAAAACCCTTAAAGCCCTGAAGCTCTAAAAGCCTAAAGCCTAAACCCTAAACCCGAAACCCTAAACCCTAAACCGTGTCAAGGAGTGTAGGGTCGGGAGTTCTCAGCCGGGCACGTCTGGTTTCGGCCTGGCATCCAGAAGGATTGATCCGGGGATAGTTTTGCTTTTTCCCAAAACTGGGGGTTCGGGTGTAGGGTTTAGGGTTTAGGGTTTAGGGTTCTTGGTTGTGCTTTTCGTCTAAGAGCCACTTTGAGTAAAATCACTGCTAGCGGGCCGTGCATCCGAATTCCGACTACCGCACCTGTAAGGGTCTGAAGGCCACCGAGGAAAGCAGAAACCAAACACGCAGCAGTATTCCACCTGATCAGGTTTAAAGTTTAAGGGGTTTAAGTGATAAGGGCTGAGGGTTTCACTGGTTATGTAACCCTCGCGACCAGACATGTGATCTCATCAGGCACCTATCAGAATGTACTAGCTACCAGTATAGCGTTTGTAAGGAACCTCGAGGAGTTACATTGAAATTACATGAAATGTATAAATTCGAGCTTCTACATTAGGGACCCCTGGAAAACCATGAAGGACTTGAAAAAACCCTAAACCCTAAACCCTAAACCCTCAACGCGGAAGGCCCGGTGCCGCCTTCGCTCCGGCACCTGCGTGACTGGAACCGGGGAGGCTTCCAGGTGGGTAGTTGTCTAAGATAGAACCCCGTTTATGCCCCCAAACCCTAAACCCTACACTTTTCTGAGGCAAGGGGGGGCCCTCATTTAGATAACTACTTAAGTGGCTTCCGATTTCGGACTCTTTCGGAGGAAAGCAGCACCCTATGCCCCGAAACCCTCCACCCCAAACACTAAACCCTCACCTAGGTTCCTGAGTGACCCCTTAATAATAAGGGTGCCTTTTTTTTCCTATTACTCAGTTTTAACAAGGGAGCCATGCAATAAAAAGGGCAAAAGGGTACTACTCAGGAGCCTAGTCACCACTGATAGCTCCCAAAGCAACAACAGCAGAAGTGAGCATGTTTGGGCTCCGAAGTTTAGGGTTTAGGGTTTAGGGTCTAGAGTTTAGGGTTCAGAGGTCATGGTCATGGCTACACGGAGACAGGGAAGCTTTCAATGCTCAAATCCCCAAGCCTTAAACTGTCAATATAGGGGCCTTCATAACTAGAATAGCGTTTTGGGGTATACTATACTACAATTAGAAGAAGGAACCCCCCGAAAAATGTACAGGTAATTATTCTGGCCCCTGTAGTTAAACCCCCAAGACCCCGGAAGCAAGATCCAACGCTTCCTCCCCCCTCCGCCCCCCCTCCAAAAAAAAAAACCTCAAAACCCGTCTAAACACCCCTGTAATGTAGGGGGCCTTAATAATTAGAATAGGGTTTTGGGGCCCATCACACTATACGTATAATAAGGCACCTGACAATAGTATAGGTAATTATTTAGGCCCCTACATTAGGGACCCCAATCTCGAAACCGAACCACCAAAACCCTAAACCCCAATCTCGAAACCGAACCACCTAAACCCTAAACCCTAAACCCTAAACCCTAAACCCCAAAACCATACTATAGGTAATCTTTATTTAGGCCCCTAATGCTGGGCAAGCAAGGCACGCTTCCCGGCGGCTGCAGGCGGCCTCTGGACCAGATTGGGGCTTGGCATCTGGGGTTTAGGGTTTAGGGTTCGGGGTTTAGGAGTTTAGGATTTAGGGTTTAGGGTTCAGGATTTAGGGTTTAGGATTTAGGGTTTAGGGTTTAGGGTTCAGGGTCGAGGCTCTAGGAGTGAAGGGTGAAGGGTTAGGGGGTCACACGTTGGTATTAGGCCGCGTGGCGCCGCGACATCTCTGTTTGGGCTTGTTCTCGAAAGTGCTGGTATTTGCAGGACTTTTGTGGATTGGAGTCAACATTGGGGTTTGTGTCTGAAGGCTGCACTGAAACTTAGGGCGCGCTTTTCAGCACACTCGGCTCAATTGTGTGGCGAGTCGGCCTTCCTACCCAGTTGCACACGACGCACAAAACCGTAAAGCCTAAACCGTAAACCTTAAACCCTATAGCCTGAACCGTAAGCCTAAACCCCAAAGCATAAACCGTAAACCCTAAAAACCAATAACCTTTGGGCCAGACATGCTGGCTGTGTCATATTGTTGCCAACATTACTCAGCTGACGCAGACTGCACCTAAAGCAACAACACCTGAAGCCTTCTGTCCTGCCGCAACCCTGAAGACTCCTGCAGGGATTAGGGTTCCAGGGACGGAAATGAAACCGGACGCTATCAGCCCCCCCCCCACCCCCCCACCCCACCCCCCCCACCTGTCCTGACAGGGCACACGACAGAATCATCAATCAAGTTAGCAAAATCTTAGGAAAAGCACATGGCCTGATACGCGCGTGTATGGGGTTAGGGCTTCGGGCCTAGGTAGGGTCCAGGGAGCCAGACGCACAAGAGATGTTGGGCTCAAGGTCGTTTTTGGGCTTTTTAGGGTTTAGGGTTTTGGGTTTAGGGTTTCGGGTTTAGGGCTTGCATCTCTGATACACTACCCAACTCGTATTTTCAGTCTTCGTAAGTGTTTCTGCCGTTGGTTTCACTGTTCAGGATTTAAGGCTTGGGGTTTCCAGGCTTACGCTTGAAGGTTATGGGTTTCGGGCTTTAGGCTTCTAGGGCTGTTGGGTTTGGGGCTCTTCGTTTCACCACAACCACTGCCACCCAAAATCCAAAACTCGAAACCCAAAAGCCCTAAACTCTAAACCTAAACCCAAAAGCCTAAACTTTAAACCACCCAGCCCTAAACCAAGCACACACGGAATGCCACACACAAAAATGCAATAAACTCTAAAACCATCCTAAACCCTAGGGTTTAGGGTTTAGGGCTTTGGGTTTAGGGTGTAGACCCTAAGGCCTGAGGCCCTATACCCTAAACCGCCATCTTCTGGCCGGGATGCTCGAGCATCGAATCGCTGGCTACCTCGGCATCAGAGCGTTGCCATCAAGTCTCATGGTACGGCTAAGGGTTTTGGCGATTTTTAGGGTTTTGGGTTTGGGGATATTGGGGGTTTAGGGTTTGGGGATCTCCTCATATCAGAATGCTACAACAATGGCTTTTGGGAGGAACTGGAAGGCGGTAAGAATCTCTGGGGGGAGTGCGGCTTTCCGGTTCAGGGGTCTGGCCTGCGCTGGCCAAAGCAAGGTAGCGGCAGTTGGAAAGACGACCAGGCCATCAATGTGATGGCCCCATCACATCACATGTACATAGAAACCAAAAAAATGAATGATGAGTGCCCAAAACTAAGCGCTGCATGGGAACAAAGGTTGTGCTGACAGTCATGTTTCGGATCCAGCATTGGGCTGAGTCTATCGCTATGAAACTCCTCCGGATGAAAAGGCATCGTTGGGCAGAACTCACAGTGCAATGCTGTTTGTTCAATCTTCCAAAACTCATCCTCGTGCACCTCCCCGCAGTCGAACAAATAATGCACTCCGAACTGCATACACTGTCCTAGAAATTGACAGGTGAGCGGTTTGCAAAGTACACGACAGGAACAGTACTCTCAAGCCCGTAACTAGTTAGACTAGTCACCTCTCATGCTGCAAGATGAAACCGCTTCGCTTCTCAAAACCAAAAAGGCGAGGCACGTAAAGAAGAGCTTCCTCCGTAGGCGTCCACAGCGTGGACAGGCGTACGAAGAACTGGCTCATCAGTATCCTGCTGAAAAGTCCCTTGCATGATGGAGGGTTAGGCCTCTAAACCAGCAGGCGCTGTCAGCCCGAAACTCAGACGATTCCAGCTGGAACTTCCTAAGGGCAAGTAGCAAGAAAAGCAACTACACTGTTGAAGCGCACATATATAAGCCACAAACAAAGAGTGTGGTTCAAAAAAAGAAGTCGAAGCCCCATGCAACACAGCCAGGGACGCGCTTTGTCTCTGGTTGTCAGGTGTTTTCAGCGAAACATATTATGTTCTCCCGGGACAACAGGGCAAGTTTTCTCAAGAGCTGCAACCTGTCTCATGAACAAGTCAGATAGACAGCAGCAAGAACAAGAAAGCATGTCATCGTTCCGGAAGCTCTACTTACTGTAATTAGTTACGTTTGGAGGACATTGTAGTCCTCTTCCAATGGATGCCACAAGTATGCCTTCAAGTTAAGTGTATCCCTGCTCCGGGTCTAGTCATTATATACTCATATTGATATTTTGCTACACTGCCGCCACGAACCTTGGGTATAGCGGCATAATCTTCTAGTCATCAGTATCGTCGCCATGGCCATTTCTACCATGGAAGCTGCTTTTGCAATCGCCATGCTAAGTCCTTCAAGCACGGGGGACCATGACTTCCGATGTAGAATGTAGAACTGAAGAAGCGGTCTGTGATAAAGACCGACACCATGATAGAAAAACTACTACTTCAGGCCACAAGCCCAAACTATGACACGCTCTGAGAAGCTCCTGCGCAAATCGTAGACCCTAAACCGTAAAAACAAAAAAACTGAAAATGTAGGGGCCTTTATACTTAGAATAGGGTTTTGGGGTATATTATACTCTAACTCTAATAAGGAACCCCCGAAATTGTATAGGCAACTATTTAGGCCCCTATATGATAACTATCGCATGCAGCCGAAGGTCTGCAAAGCCAGCACTGAGACCCAAGAGCCTCGACTCATGAAGCATTTATGGTTTAGGGTTTAGGGTTTAGGGTTTAGGGTTTAGGGTTTAGGTACAGGTGTACGTACGGGTGGGGAGTTTAGGGTATATAGGGCTTCTATAAGGCTTCTGTAAGGTATATAGAGCTTCTATACGGTTCCTATAGTGATAACCACCCACCTGAAATGAAACTGTCCTAGATTTATGCAGGATCCTTCATGATCTTCCCCACAGTTCTTGCGCCCATGCAACAATAGGAAGTTCAAAAATCCTAAACCCTAAAGCCCAAACCCTAAAACCCTAAGCCCTAAACCCTAAAACCCTAAAGCCCTAAACCCCAACACCCTACAACCCTACAACCCTAAAACCTAAAACCCTAAACCCTACAACCCTAAACCCTGAACCCTAAACCCTGTAGAGGAGCTGGATCTAAACAAGGCTTTCGGGCGTTTTTTCTTGTGCAATAGACATGGAACTTGATAATCAGAATGGGGTTGGGTTGCTGCTGTAGTTTAATCTCAAAGAAACGACGAGGGGACAGCAACAATTCGTGGGTTTGGGTCGCTGCTTGTGGATTGGTTCCGGAGGGGCGATGAGGGGATGGCAACTATTTTCTGATTGCTCAGACCTCTTGATTCCGGTGAGGGTCTCGGGGCTTCTGACTCCGGGCATGAAGCTATTCGGGGGACTCACTTCATGAAGCTTAGGTTTTTTAGGTTTCCTTCGTGACAGTGGGGCTTCATCAGATTGTACGGCCCTTGGCTGGGGTTTGATGGTTTTGTACTCGGATGTTCAAATCAGACAATTGCGCAATAAGCATGTGAAGCAAGCCTTGTGAAGTTGGAGCGCAGGCCAAAGCTACCAAGATTATGGCATACAGCTATCCAATGTACTTTGTGGAACCACGCACCAGCAAGAAAGCAAGATAAACCGATTATCTGAAAAAACACTGGTTTTTGGACCCCCTCAAAACCAGGGCTGCTGGAGGGCTTCTGAAGGCAGCCAAGGGTCCTCGATCGAACTTCTTCAATGCCCGGCCGATTCTTCGAATCCTGGGAGCTCAAGTGAGGTAGGTTTAAGCTTCTTCATTGTTCCAGGTTTTGAGATGATTAAGGTTTAGGCTGCTTACTTTCTTCGGAGGTTGGGGGTTTAGGCTTCGGAGTGTTCGGGAATTGGGGTTTCAACCTTTTTTGGCTTTTGAACCCGAGATTTGGCTGAGAGCTTACAGGGCTCCTCAAACAAATTGATGAATGTATAGTTTGGGTGATACTATGGGGATCAATAACCAAACTTCCCTATGTGGAATAGGGGGTGGTCAGCCCGAAGATTGCCTGCAGTTCAGCTTGAACCTGCCACGGATTCAATCGAGAACCGTGAACTACACCGTACACTCCAAACCCTGGCAGCCCGAGCATGCAAATCCCATTTCCACCAGAGCCCGACGAAGGATGACAGTCGGAGCACAGAAATCGCATCCGAACCTCAATGCCATCATGTCCAAAGTCGTGATCGTGATGCGAATAACAACAACCTCAAGTAGCATAAGCCAGAACTGATGGTACAGTAGTACCGGCAAGACCAATAATCACGGAATCGCGTGAAGCCTGGAAGATATCCTGGCTAAAACCTGATGAAGAGCCCTCCCTAAACCCTAAACCCTAAACCCTAAACCCTAAACCCTAAACCCTAACCCTAAGCCCCAAACCTGAGCCCAACTGCAGCGGAGCTTCAGCTCGGACTTGGCTCGCTCGTTCTGAAAGCTGGCCGGGGTGCTTTCTAAGTCGATGCAAAGTCTCAGCAGCTCCTCAGGGGAATGTAAGCAATAATAGTAACAAAAGTACTAATAGTAGTAATGATAATGATAATAATAATAATACTAAAAAGCAACAATAGTAAAAATAGAAATAAAAAAGTAATACTAGTAATAAGAGTAGGGCTTTATAATCATTGAAATAAGTGCATGTGGACAGCGGCTTATGACGTTTTGCGTAGGGTTTTATCAAATTGAAACAGCGGCCTTCATTTAATGATTGAACAGGGTCTTGGCGTGTGTCATGCTGTACGGATGCTATCAGTACGAGTCATTGCGCCGCCTATATTATATTGGTGTCCACACTCAAATTTCGGAACGCTGCGGGCAACATCCGCATGACATTGGTGGGGGTGACGATTGTCGTGATCAGGAGTAAGTTGATGAAAATGCACATGAAGATGGTGCTGACTGTCCGGGTGTGTTTTCAGTGATTTAGGCCCTGAAGTCCTGAAAGTTCAGTGCTTGCGGAGAAGATCAAGAGTCGGATGTCGGGTGTCATCACATACTCCCTGTCTGTAGTCTAGGTTCCTGAGTGACCCCTTAATAATAAGGGTACCCTTTTTTCCTGTTACTCAGTTTTAACAAGGGAACCATGCAATAAAAAGGGCAAAAGGGTACTACTCAGGAACCTAGTAGTCTGGTTTGTCTGACTGGACGGAGAACACTGAAGTGCGTGATTTGCGAAGAAGTTTTTCGGGGGCTCAAGTCAGAACGCTGACGGGTTCAAGAGGCTTTATGGCGCTTTAGCTTTGCTTCCGAAACCTATACCGGAGGACCTGAAATTCATAATTCCCAATTTCTCAGGGAATCTTGGGCCTTTCACTTCAGAATGACCCGCAGCAGCGTAGGCGCAACATCCTAAACCCTAAACCTCACATTGCATGACACCATGTGCGGTCCTCCTCAACCCCCGAAACCCTAAACCCTAAACCCTAAGCCCTCCAACACCGGTAAAACCAGATGGCTATGTCCTTTAAATCATAATTCCTACTAAGGGGCTGGTAGTTCATGGCTAGAGTAACCTGCATAGAACACTTTAAAGGATGCCTGCAAACCCCACTTATCGACCGCACAGTCTTACAATACCCACAAGATTTACTACATACTCAGACCCCTGGCTCCTTTTCAGGACCTGTTTCGGAAACACCCTCTAGGTTCCTGAGTTGTACCCTTCTGCCCTTTTTACTGCATGGTTCCCTTGTTAAAACTGAATAACAGGAAAAAGGGTACCCTTATTAAGGGGTCACTCAGGAACCTAGCCCTAGACTGTGATACTGCCAATACTTATCCAGACCCCTGTCCCCAAACCCTAAACCCTGAACCCTACATTGCATGACACCATTGTCGGTCCCTCTCCAAACCTTCAAACGCTCTGAATCCTAAACCCTAAACCCAAAGCCCTGAAACCTAAAATTCAAATCCCCAAAACCCTAAACCCCAAACCCCTAAACCCTAAACCTCTCAACCCCTAAACCTTAAACCCCTAAACCCTAAACCCATAAACCCATAAACCCTACACCC